AAAACTACTGAAAAGTAAAACTACTTCACTTTAGCATTACTGGCCACGAGTACTAAGGAGAGATCACACATCAGCTGCGTCAGTGAGACGAACGGAGTGCGAGCGCAATCCTGTGACAGTCTCAGGTGGTTAGTGGAGTGCGTGAAGGAGAGACTCTAGGGCACGAACACTGTTCAAGGTCTCCATTAATTCGTGCTTGTAGTAATTTAATGTGTATATATTTCGAAAGCATTGAATCGCTATAGAAATCGCGAATCATTCGATTCTTAGCATTTTAAATCGATTTTCTGTCCGAAATAATCGATTACTGTCCGAAATCGACGATTCACGATTAAAAAATCATGTTTCAAGATCGATGCATATGCATCGTCAGGGTTTGTAATCGATGCATCGATAAAACAAGTGAATCGTTACACCCCTAATAAGAGCACCTGAGTAGTTTTATGATAATGTATCAGAGTGTAACTAAATAATAGTAGCTTTGCTACTAACAATTTTAATTGACAATTAATGATTAGCCATGTTTTCCAATACATACTAGTATCATTTATCTGTGCTTGGCCCCTTAATGAATTATTGGAGTAATATCTAAGGTGGACTCTTGTATAACAAAAATGATAAAAAAAACAAAAACAATATTTTCTAAACTACTATTAACATAAAACATCAAATAGTGCTAAACGAATCCTTTGGAGAGAGTCACATAGCACTGTTAACCAACTGTTAGTGTAACATTTCTCATAGGATCTTTAAACTTGTGTTTTACAAAATCCCAAAATATGAAAGACGAGTTAAACAGCCAACATGGAGTAAAAGAATAAAATATAATGTTTACATTAAAAAGAAAATAAAAAATAAAAATCAAGGATTATTCATTGAGTGATCTACAAAATATTATTTTACATAATATACTTCAGTTAAGAAGTATGTTGTCCTAGTAATGCCAAAGAAAACCTTTAGCTCCTTAACACATAATGTGCGCCTGTTTTTGCATACTGTCAGAATACATACTGCACTTGATGAATATCTTCTCAACCATTTAAAAAGTATGGTCTTTGAGTATGCATGTGTATAGCATGAATACAATCCATATTTACTACATCCACCATATTGGCATTGTCATGTGACCTTGTGTCTCCGTTCCCCACCATTTATGACTATGACAATTCCTCATCTGTGTCCCTCGGCTCCACAGTATATGTAGTAGTGTTGTTGGGGTCCTCTTCTGGTATCAAGGACAAAATTTTGTCATTTGGATCATCCCATTCCATTTTTGTGGGAGCTGTAAAATAAAGAATCACAAGGTAAATAAGAGAGAAAGAAACTGTGTTAAACTACACTATATGGCAAATTAAACTATTACATTGCAATTGCCTGATGGCAATTATACTCAGAGTAACACAGGCAGGCAGATTTATTTACTATTTATTTGAAGATTAGGCTATTAAAACACTACTACTGTGTTTTAAGTGAAGTGTTTAAGATGGAAACATATTCTAAAATGCCTTATATTTATTATTACTAATACTAAGGCTATAAGAACTGACTAGACTCAAACACGAGTCAGAATTTGATTTGGAGTAAGACAAAGAGAAACATTTCAGACACTTATAAATACTTAGGCTTCTCACCACGGACATTGACTTTGATTGTTTTTGTAAGTGGATTGGTGTTGCTCTTGATCTCAACCTTAAATTGCCCAGTGTCTTTGACTCTCATGTTCTTGATCGTGAGATTTCCAGTCTGATGGTCCAGCTGTAGTCTGTCTTTGAATTTCCCTCCAGGACCTTCCTTTACTAAGAGCCTATCGCTCCTTTTATCGCATACAGCGATGACACTATATAAGGTTGTGGATTCAGATACTCTGGAATCAGCATATTTCCACCGTAGCCGATCATCTCTCTGAATGTCAGTAACACCACTTTTTAGAGTGACAGTTTCTCCTTGTTTTACTTTTATTTTCTTCACTTGATCTGGTTCAGAATGAAACATATCTGGAGAAAGAAAAAGTTTTTCAAGACATGAGTTAAACATATATAGTGTCATATACAACTGGGAAAGGGCCTTGTCAAACAAATCTTATGCTACAAAAGTATTTGTGATTTTGTAGAACATGTTCCTGAATCAACATCCTTGTTGGCCCTGGAATAAAATTACTGTTTTGTCTGGGCCTTAGCATATGGTCTCAGACAAAACTGCAATTTATTGAACTGATATAGAGCACAGGACATTTTTTTTTTCAATTTAAGTAAAGCTAGAGCAATCTCTTCAAGCAAAACATTTCATAAAAGTGTTTGATAGAGTGTGAATTGTTGAATATAAAACAAAACAGATATGCTGTTTCTCATTAGGACAAACTTCAGGTTGTCAAACATCTAAATCAATGAGCCAGGGTATAGATTACAACCTGAGATTTATGCAATGTATGGTAAAGTTTCTCACAGCTGGTGGTGTAATGGAGGTGTATCATTAAATTCTTACCCTGAAGTGGATCACATTCTTCCTGACCTGTTTGAACAATAATCACATTTTTGTTAATTATGATTACATTTAATGGACAATGCAAATGAATTTAAAATTGTTTTACAGTAACTTACCATTTGGTAAATCTTTCTCCTGATCAGGAATTTCCTTATCTGCAGAAGACATGTAAATCTGATTTGTACTCAAACACACAGAGATTCAGTGCACACAGTAATACAATATCTTACCATTATTTGGGTTATTAGCTTCTTCCCCAAGAACTTGACCTGTTCAAACAATAATCAGATTTAATTTAATGAAACATGTCAATTACATTTTAGGTTTCGGAGTTGTACTTTCTTTCCTTTTTGTTTTTGCTTAGATTTATTTTCCTCCATGGTAAACTTTATTTAGTTTAAGGTAATATCTGTGTACGAAAGCCCAACAACGGCCCCAAGAGGTATCTTTGTGTATATAACTTTATCAATGCTTGTACAAGTCAAGACATGCCTGAACAAGTATCAGGGGCAGTCTATAGGTGGAAAGACTGATTTCTTTTTCTTTTGTGCAAGAATACAGACTACTGCATGTTTGTTGTTCCTGTGAGTGAATGATTAAGAAGTAAGTTATCTGTTTACCTTCCAAGCTGTTCAACTTAAATATTTTACATACTCTATTATTGTAATTTGTAAACTGTACTAGTTCAAATAATAATTTAAATAATATGTATATGTTTAGGTAAATTGCATGCAGACCTAATTAGGGCAAATGTCAAAGCTCGTTTAATAGCGCTTCGTTGCATATATTCCACAGTATTATTTAGATATGTAAGCTAACTTGTACCCTTGTCTATGGTATATAAATGATACACTTCAATGCAGCTGTTTAGATAACTTGAATTATTATTGCTACTGCTATGTATAATGTTCCTACTCTTTATGTTAGTCATAATACTGTTTACATTAACAACTTTTACATTGTATTTTGCTTCCTCTGTTCATTGTAGACCACACATACAGTGCCTGTACTACCTCATACATGCAGAAATAATCCAAATAAACCCTCTAACTGGGACCCGCTCTCTTGCACCAGTTTCTCTAACCGGAAACTCCCACCGCCATTTCTACTAGTGCCTAACCAAACCCTTTGAGCATCCCTTAAATTCGAATAATCTGACCTCCAACAATCATACAAAGAAACTGTGGACTAATATCTAATTAAAAAAAAAAAAAGTTTCATCCATGGTTGGCCAAAATTGTGAACTGAAGAACAATTCATGAATGTGAATTTAAAGTGAATTGGCCACAACATGCAGGAAGTTGAATTGGAATTAAAAGGGTCATGAACTGAGAAACCAAAATCCCTTTGATCTTTTGACTTATAAGAGGTCATTGTACTATAAAAAGATCCTTTGGTCAGAACTCAAAACTTTGTCGTTAGTCTAAAAACAGCTTATATTGAAGCTAGTCTGCTAAAAGACAGCTTGTGGAATGTACCACTGTTTGATGTAATAGTGTCAGTAAACACCGCCTCCGCAGAAGAAAATCAGCGCCTGCTTCTACATCGCTGCCTGTTTAGCCCCGTCCACTGATTTGCACATGTAGTGTAAATAACGAGAGGCGAACACTGGTCTATGCAGAAACCTAATGATAAAGATGCTCCGAAGACAACAAGACGCTATGCAGTGCCAAGCTGTGGAAAAAAAAAAAACAGTCTTTGCATTGCCTTCCTTCTGATCCCAACCTTAGGAAAGAGTGGATGAGCTTTATTTTTAATGAAGTTCCAGACCTCATCGGTAAGAACTCAGTCCTTTGTTTACTTCATTTTATGGCAGATTCGTTTACAAACAAGGAACAATTCGACGCGGGATTTTCAGAATGATTGAAACTAAAAGACGATGCAGTGTGACTATATTGGATCTGATGTCGCAACACACAAGTATGAGTAAATGTTTTCTTTACATGGTCACTATTGCCTTGTCTGTTATTGCAGATCATTTAATATGTACTGAGTATTAATGCGTTTTTGACCTAAATCACAGCAGCGTCCATCTATGAGGATCAGATTTCAATCATAGAAGTGAGCATTTACTTCCGAGTCTACAATCCGCCACGCCTATTCAAACAGAGCGTTCTGATGAGGGGGGGGTCAAAACAGGACAAAAAATAGCCTATTAAATCTCAATTATTGTGTTTTTTTGATGTAAAAATCGTTAACATTATAAGGGGACTTCTATGGAAGCCCGTTTCCACCACTGAATAAAAAATAAAAAAAAGGCAATTCTGACTTTTTTTCTTGCAATTCTGACTTTTTTTCTCAGAATTGTGAGATATAAACTCGCAATTGCGAGTTATAAAGTCAGAATTGCGTGATATAAACTCGCAATTGCAAGTTAAAGTCCAATTTTGAGGGGGGAAAAAAGACTACTTTTAGTTAGTTATTTGATGCTATAAAAGCTGGGTAGGACGCCATGATTGAAAGCTGTGCTGTGACTTTGGGCGGGACCTTGATACCATGGCTCTATCTCTAATGCACAAACTTTGGTTGCATATGACATTATCAGCACAAGATGGCAGCTGCAGTCTATAGTTGAAATGAGTATCCCTAAAGTACCCAGTTTGCAATCTACATTGTAAATTCTAAGTGCAGATTTGTACACACTCTTAACAGCTAATATTGCCCATTGTGTGTTGGATGACGATTCGATTGTATCTACAAAACAAACAAAAAACATGGTGGATATGTGAGATTGATGGTTAAGTTTTTATACTGTGCTTCAGAATACAATTTATGAAATATGCTTAAAAAACTGCCCTTCTACTCCTTTTATGATAACTTCAAATAGTATTAAGCAGTGACCTTGAAATTTAGGAAATTGTAGGTTGTTCACTAATTTTGATCTCCACTGTAAATGTATTCAATCCACATTATATTTCATCTGCAACAACATTGTGAACTTTCATCAAGATACAGAGGGTCATTAACTTTTAAATGTCATTATGCAAAAATATGAGGAAAGTTCTGGCAGATGAACATGCCTCTTCGTTTCACTCTAATACAGTAGGATATTGAATTAAATAAAATGTGAAGGACATTAACTATAACAAGGCCAGTTTAAACTATGACAGAATGCATGTAACCAAGCAACAGAGCAGTCTATTAAAGACAGTTTGTTAAATTATGACAAAGTAGTATGTCCCAAAGCATGTATACTTTTCCAAATATAATTAAACCTGAGGCAGAAACTTGATACCATGTTTGATATAAGAGCTACAACAGAGGGGAAGCTTTTCAGTAAACATCTTCAGTTTTGCTCTGTTCTACACACAAAGCTATTGTACTTGAAATATAGCATGCAAATGATGGCCAGATCACACGCCCATCAGGCCCTTGAGCACAAACACACAAGGTTTCCCAAACCTACCCAGCAACACAGTACCATCTATAAACATATAATCCTGCAATATTGATTGTGACTTTCCTTATTATTAGAGCATAAAACTCAGCATTTCTCTGTTTCTCTGTCAAAATGATCATGAATATCTCTCCTAATTAGACATTTGTCTACTGTAAAAATATCAGATCTTATTATTTTAACAGTGATTTTTTTTTTTTACAAACAAAAGCACATAACTGACACTCAACATCTTACCATCAATAAGTGGATCACCTTCTTCCTGACCTGTTTGAACAATAATAATTTTTGTTCATTATGATTACATGTAATGGACAATGAAAATGCACATTGTTTTACAGTAACTTACCATCTGGTAAATCTTTCTCCTGATCAGGAATGTCCTTATCTGCAGAAGACATGTAAATCTGATTTGTACTCAAACACACAGAGATTCGGTGCATACAATATCTTACCATTATTTGGGTTATTAGCGTCTTCCCCAAAAACTCGACCTGTTCAAACAATAATCAGACTTAATTCAATGAAACATTTACATTTTAGGTTTCAGAATTGTGTTTTTTGTTCTGTTCTTGTTCAGTTTTTCTAGCATTTTAAACATTTTGGCTCTCAATGGTCAGGATGTTGATTTCAGTTTAAAGGGGTCCTATTATGCTTTTTCACTTTTTTAATTTTAGTCAGTGTGTAGTGTGTATGTTTGGGCATAAAAACGATCTAGAAAGTTACAAATCTCAAAGTCCACTCCAAAGGGAGATATTTCGTTTTTTTAAAATCCCTTTTCAAGAACTACAACGAACGGCTCGTTTGGACTACAGCATTTGTTTTCCGGG